AGAGACACAGAGAGACGGAGAGACACAGAGAGACATGGAGAGACACAGAGAGACATGGAGAGACACAGAGAGACATGGAGAGACACAGAGACATGGAGAGACACAGAGAGACATGGAGAGACACAGAGACATGGAGAGACACAGAGAGAGACGGAGAGACACAGAGAGACACAGAGAGACGGAGAGACACAGAGAGACACGGAGAGACACAGAGAGACGGAGAGACACAGAGACATGGAGAGACACAGAGAGACACGGAGAGAGACGGAGAGACACAGAGAGACGGAGAGACACAGAGAGACGGAGAGACACGGAGAGACACAGAGAGACACAGAGAGACACGGAGAGACACAGAGAGAGACGGAGAGACACAGAGAGACGGAGAGACGGAGAGACACAGAGAGACACAGAGAGACGGAGACACACAGAGAGACGGAGAGACACAGAGAGACACAGACAGCTGAGGTCAGAGGGTAAAAGGTGTTTGTTGTTGCAGGACCGATGAGCTGATCCAGAAAACCATCCGGGACAAGTTCAGGGACTGTACGGTCGTCACCATCGCTCATCGCCTCAACACCGTCATAGACAGCGACCGCATCCTGGTGAGACTTCTGATTGGTCCATTTCTCTGTGTTGTCCTGTTTCTACACACCTGGCCCGTTTGCTCCACTTGAGTCCGGCTCCGGTTCCTTGGTTAGGTGCTAATCTGTGATCCGGTTCAGGTTTGGATCCGGATCTGATGTTCAGTTTAGTTGAAGTGAATTATTGTGCAGTTAGAAACGATGAGTGAAATCCAACAGGACCAGAACCCGCTCCAATAGCAGGAAGTGGACTGTGTTGCAGGGTATTCTGGGTAAAACTCACCTAAACATAGCAGTGAATGTAGAATAATAGAAACTTTTATCTCCAGGTTCTGGACGGTGGCAGCATCCAGGAGTTGGACCGACCCTTCACTCTGCTGCAGAACCCAGACGGCGCCCTGTACAAGCTGGTCCAGCAGACGGGTCGGGCCCAGGCGGCCGCTCTGCTGGAGTCGGCCAGAGAGGTGAGCCGGAAACGTCCGCACGTCGGTGGCGCTCAGTAAACGGCGTCGATCCCGGTCAACAGATCCAATGTTTCCACAGTCGGCACACCGAACAGAACCGAGCGACTCCTGGGACCCGAGAACGGAGCAGAACATTCCAGAGTCCAGGGAAACGTAACGCGGAGGCGCCGGAGTCTGTGAGGGCAGTTTGAACACGTCGGTCCAGACGGGAAACTCGTAAAGTTCAGCGACAGACAGACAGGAAGCTCAGATTTATGTGTTGGAAGTGAAACGACGAACATTAGAGACGGTTTGATGTTTTGGTTTCACTTCATGTAAACTCTGTTTTTAAAAAGTGGCCCGGCTCCGTGAAACGTTTCAGGGCTTTTTATGACTCTGCAGCAGCAGCAGCAATAAATAAGAACGTGAGGGAAATGAGGACCTACCTCAGCGAAACCTGCAGCCAACTGGTGGCAAACATTAGAGACGGTGCATCAAGTCTGAGTGATCAACAATACATGACATTTATAGCTGGATGGAATATTGTAGGAATATTTATTCATGCAGGTTTTGCTCAACTTTTCAAATGATGCATAGAGATAGAATGTAAAAGAACCTGGATAAGTTCTCTGAAGTGCAGAATGAATAGAAATGTCTTGTTTCAATGAGTTGTTTCATGAGTGAGTCTATGAGGAGCGGACGGGTTTGCTGTGGTGATGATGGTTCAGCAGAAAGCGTGCGGCGGCTCTGGCTGCCAGGCGGTTTGGCTCTGGATCATCTGCAGGTCGATCCAATGACAGCGACTCTCTGTGTTGGTGGTAAAACCTGGTCTGGATGCAGAGGAGATGTGAAGATGCTGGGATGAATGTTTTCTGTTTGGTTTCACTTCTTATTCTGTTCACTTCCCATTAGAAATGACATCACATGTTTCTCTATTTATCTCTTTACATTCATTAACTTCATGAACTTCCTGTAAGGAAGAAAGAGAAGTGTTTCCTGTGACTGTAAACGCTTGAAGGTATTTAGTTCAATCAGTTTGTCAAATGTACATGTTGTAGTTGTGAAGTATTGGAGATGGTTTTATGGCTCAATAAATGTCTGAAGACGAGTTCAGAAATGTAATGTTAGCGAGAAACTTGTTGCTATTGTGTGCTACCAGCTCTCCATCTAACGGGTGAATGAAGTTTCCTAAATCATCTGGGTTTTTAACAAATCCAGAACTGAAGTAAACTCTGCTTAAGCTGGTTTAGAGACAGGATTGGCCTGACCTCTCTGACCTCCATCCAGATCTCTCCTCCTTCTTCCCCCTGTGAATCAGTCAGACTCACTGACTAGTTTCACAGAGAACATCTGTTAGCGGTCGCTCCTTCTCTTTTTTACAACTTGCACTTGTTACTGAATCAAGTTGGTGTTAGTGACTTGGGCGAATCCCCAGGATGTTGTTTTAGATTTGGGCCAAAGCAACCAATGAAACATGACCTATTTTTCTTCCCCAGAATCAAACATCACAGCTATTTTACTACCATCAAAGAACTTTGAGGCGACTCATTAATTGAATGTCCACAACATCTTTTAGATTTTTTTTCATGTTAAATATGTTATTAGTAAAGCAATGTTGCAAGGGTCAGTACAGCTTAATGAAATAGCAGAAATAATCCAATAAGTAAAATGAATCATCTAGCCTATCTTTCCCTGATGCTGATAGTAAGAACTAAAAGGGGAACCTTTAGAGAGACGGACGGAGTTTGGTGTTTGGAATCCCAGAACTGGTCTGATGATGATGAAGGTGTTGCAGCAGGAGGTTGATTGATGAAGGCAGGGATCTCTGTCGGTCTGATGATCTGTCATGTCTGCATGGATGGTGAGGTCACACAGGACTTGGCTCTTTGTCTTTGGGGTCTGAACCCAGCCGATGAGAGAAGTGCGATTTGAAGCCACATGTTGCTGACGGGTCGGTCCCCGTGTGCAGGACAGTCTTGGGCTCTGTGGTCCCGGCTCTTCTTCAGCTGCAGTTCTTTGTCCATCTCGGTTTTTACTCGAAGCTGCCTGGAGGATCCAACCAAAGATTCCTCTTTTGCTCTCCCCTTATATAGGGTTTCTACCTGCTTTCAGTGCATTTTCATTGGCTAACACTGTTGCTGTGCTTTGTTGGGTAACTTTGTTACAGACCTTTTCTCCTGATGTCTTTGCTAATGTTTCAGGGTTATTCAATGTTTCTCTCATGTTGTTTCTCTGACACGTTTATGTTGTCCAACAACCTATTTGTTAATTAGGTTTTATAACTCAACCAATATTAATGTAAGTATGTGACTTTAAATTGTATTTAATGACTCAAAATGTTCAGATGTCATCCTTTAAAACTTTAATGCTTTTAAACAAGGACTCCTCTCAGCTATTGTTATCCATCTGCAAGCTGGAAACCTGCTCTTCCTCTCTCATCCCTGATTTCTTATCATTCGATATAAAAAAGAAGTGTAATTAAAGCTAAGCTTATTTATTTATTTTATTCCAGTGTGTTGGATTTAGATTTCACTTGTGTTACTAATTAGAAAGGTAACTTTCTTTGTTGTTACTGTTAAATGAAAATGTCCAGCATGGGGAAGTGGGTTGATGTTTGATTTTGTTGACAAAGTCTGGACTCAGGTGAGGAGATGAACATGAGAAACCTGAACCTCCGGCTGATGTTCACCTAAAAAGAAATGCTCCTAATGGAAGCACAGCGAGAGAACAAAGCAGGGTTGGAGTAGGAAGTCATTCTGTCAGAGCTTTTCCTCAAAATCCAACACAAAAGCAGTGAAAATTTATTTTAGTAGAAAGTAACTACAGTCAATATAAGTATTTCTGTTTCTTCCCACATGTTTCTTAGAAGTAAAGAAATCAGGAAAGAGAAAATGTGAAATGTTGCACTAAAGCACAGAGAGGATGTTTATGAGAAAGTTTCATATGAGCGACAAACTAGAAGAATCAGGAGGTCAAGAGTTCATGTTTGATCCTCTGCTTTAGGTCACTGCTCTGCTTCTTCCACTGTGTTGTGGCAGCAGAGGCACCAGGTGCCGGTTTGTTAGGTATTGCAGGATTCTGTGATGTCAGCAGTTCCAGCATCCAAGCAGAGGAAGAGAATAAGGTTTGAAAAGAGTAAAATGTTTCACTAGGTGTCTGTTGTTTAACCTCATGTTTATTTTTTATTGGTTCCATGTTTAGGAAAGATCTGCATCCAACTGTTGTAAAAACTAATGAAGTTCTTCAATGATTGTTCTCCATAAATAGGTTTTTCTTTTCTCATGAAGTCAGTAATGCATGTAATGTTGGAGTAATGATTCATATAGAAAAGGTGATTTGTTTTCATGATGTTTAGTGTTTGTGATGTGGAAATGTGAATGCTGGGTGTGACAGCAGGAAGGACGTCTCGGTTCTGTCAGGTCCAGGCTGATGAAGAGGCTCAGCAGCTCCACGAAGCCGCGACGCGTTTGCATCGCCGGCGGCGGAACGTCAGCATGCGATGAAGACAGAAACATCCAAGCTTGAAGAAGAAGAGCGACGACGAGCCTTTAAACCAAACGTGTGACAGCGTGTTGTTCAGTCAGAGGCGTATCCCAATGTTCTGCAATCCAGGCTGCAGCAGGGGAAGAGTCGCCTCTATGGATGTAGAAGGTTAGGAAGGAAGTGGAGAAGAAGCACTTTGTCAAGGAGGAAAGTCTCTCCGAAATGGACGAGTTATTTAACTGAGAAGTTTAGAAGAGCAACATGTGGATATGAAGAAATGATGGTGAAAATCTCAACTTATTCATCTTGTGTTTTTTTCTCAAACAAAGAGAATGATGTTGAATGTTTTGCTACTATTCTCAGTAAGATGAGCAGCAGCTGCTTTTCTGTGTTAGTTCAGTTCAGTGGAGGCTGCAGGTTGTAATGTCTCCTCCTGCAGGGCAGGTGGCGCTGCGGCCGGAGGAACCCGTCAACAGCAGCACATGGTTTCTCTCTCTCTCTCTCTGTCTCTGGTGGGAGGCGCAGTGAGTGAAGGGATCTGTGCAGGTTGTTTGTGCTGTTATTAACATGTTGCTAACATGAGCAGCAGCGGGTTCCCCACGCCGCTTTCCTCCCACGCGGGACGCGGAATCTTCCAGGACGTTTACGAGGCCGCGGAGGACTCGTTCCTGCTGATGGACGCGCTGCAGAAAGACGCCGAGACGCTGCAGCGGATGAGGCAGGGCTGCAGCTCCCCACGGTGCGTGGTGTCTGTGTCCCTGATCCCCGTGTCACTGTGGCCCCTTCTCGCTCTTTGCAGCCCCTGCGTGTGCGTGGAGGTGGGCAGCGGCTCCGGAGCGGTCAGCGCCTTTCTTGCCTCGGTCATCGGACCTGCAGCTCTGTGCATGTGAGTCACTGTTGCTCCACGCAGACATGATGCTGGACGTGACGTGTCATCCCGTGGATGTGGTGTCAGAAACACGAGGAACTGGAAGTGGATGGTGGAGGATTTGTTTACGTGTGGAAATGATGTAAACAGTGAGCAGGTGGAGGGAAGTGAAGTGGAGGGTTCTGTAGTGGATCCCTGTGAACCCAAACATGAAGGTGTTGAAGAATCGTGTCAGTGATGCTGGTGGGAGACAGTGGAGGCTGGAACCGTGGAAACGACCAGCAGATGTTGTTGTGATTGTTTCTGAGAATCAAGAGGTTCAGTTCACAGGACAGACTGATGATGATGATTCCAGTCAATCATTTTCAGTCTCTGCAGCCATGAAGTGGAGGTCAGGGGTCATGTGAATGTTTGTGCTTTTGCAGCAGCCATGAGGGAGTTGATGTGTAATTATTAATGATTCTTAATGTGGAGCTTCTTCACAGTAACATTGGTAGTGATGAGTGGAGGTGCAGCAGAGACTTTACATCTCAGTCAGTCAGAGACTCAATGGATGTGATTCAAGTTTGGCTGTGAAGCTGCAGCTTTTCTCTCTCTGTTGCTGCTTCAGGCCGAATCATCATTTTATGAGTGAAAGCAGTGATTAACGAGACTTCAGTTTGTGCTTTGTTTACTGAGTTCAAATACTTCAGTAATGATCACCTACATAAGTAGAGAGATGTGTCATTGAATAACAGAGGTTAATGTTCATATGTAACTCTGTATGTTGACCTCAATGACCTTCAGTCTGTTGCTTTTGAGCTCCAACATGTTTTGTTTCTCTCTTGCAGCTGCACTGACGTGAATCCGGCTGCCGCTCATTGCACAGCCAGAACCGCCTCCTGTAACCGGGTCGCCCTGCAGCCCGTCATCACAGACCTGGTACCGATCGCTCACTCAGTCACCATCATGTCACTAGAACCAGCAGTGATTAATGTAGATGTGATGCTGCATGCGTCCTCACAGACACTCTATGTCTCTCCTGTCCAGGTCCAGGGTCTGTTGCCGAGGCTCGGTGGGCAGGTGGATGTCCTCCTCTTCAATCCGCCCTATGTTGTCACTCCGTCAGAGGAGGTCTGGACCTGTGGACCCGGCTGGCGTCACCATTCACTGGCTCAGTGTTTGAATGTCTTTTGTAACGACGCAGGTGGGCAGCAGAGGGGTCGAGGCGTCCTGGGCCGGAGGTCAGCGGGGCAGAGAGGTCACCGACAGGTTCCTCCCTCTGGTCCCTGGGCTCCTGTCCACCAGAGGTTTATTCTACCTGGTGACCATTGTTGAGAACCAGCCGGGTCAGTCAGTCAGTCAATGCAGACATGAGATGTTTATGGGAATGGGAGAGTTAGGTTTCAGTTTGTCCACAGATGACATCATCAGGTTAATGAGTCACTTTGACCTGGAAGGAGAGAGCAGCCTGACGACCAGAGCCGGCAACGAGAGGCTGTCTGTGCTGCGTTTCCACAGGAAGCAGCAGAGGAGACAGTGAGAGGTCGGAGTCATGGATGTGATTCACAGTATCGGTTCAGACATTCATGCACTTTAATGTAAACTATGTTTCCTCCTAACAAATAGGTGAGACACTACAGACAGTCAGACTCTATGTCCTCCACACCGCCTGTCCCTCTGGTCCCAGTTGGACGGCTCCACTGGCCACCAGCTCCAGCGCCTGGGGGAACGCCTGATGCTCGGCCTCCCGGATCCTCGCAGACAGACTGTCCTCTGTGTCTCCGAGCAGCACCGGCACCGCCTGCTGCACGATGATGGCGCCGGCGTCCACGTCCTCCTACAAGCCAACAGTCTTCATCATTTCTTCATCATGTGTCTGCTGTACAGTTTGATGGTTTCCTGCATGTTGGTCAGACTTACAGCTACAAAGTGGACAGTGCATCCAGTGACCTTCACTCCGGCCTGCAGGGCCTGTTTCTGGGCCTTGACCCCTTTGAACGATGGCAGCAGCGAAGGATGGATGTTCAGCAGCTTCCCTGGTTTCACAGGAAGAGTTGGTGAACCTTATCCCCTTATCCCCTTATCCCCTTATCCCCTTATCCCCTTATCCCCTTATCCCCTTATCCCCTTATCCCCTTATCCCCTTATCCCCTTATCCCCTTATCCCCTTATCCCCTTATCCCCTTATCCCCTTATCCCCTTATCCCCTTATCCCTTATCCCCTTATCCCTTATCCCCTTATCCCCTTATCCCCTTATCCCCTTATCCCCTTATCCCCTTATCCCCTTATCCCCTTATCCCCTTATCCCCTTATCCCCTTATCCCCTTATCCCCTTATCCCCTTATCCCCTTATCCCCTTATCCCCTTATCCCCCTTATCCCCTTATCCCCTTATCCCCTTATCCCCTTATCCCCTTATCCCCTTATGCCCACCGGTTTAAGAGAGGAAAGCAGTAGAATTATATATACTAAGTGTTGAAGGTAGTTTTGAAGGAAGCAAGGAGGAGAGAAGGGAAGGAAAGAAGCAGGCAAGGAAGGAGAGGAAAGGTTGGAAGAGTAAGAGAGTGAAGAAGGAAGGAAGTAAGAGTTAAAGTGCCAGACTAGATGAGGAGTTGGAATGTGGATGTCAAAGTATTGAAGCTAATTTACTTTGACATCCACATTCCAACTCCTCATCTAGTCTGGCACTTTAACTCTTACTTCCTTCCTTCTTCACTCTCTTACTCTTCCAACCTTTCCTCTCCTTCCTTGCCTGCTTCTTTCCTTCCCTTCTCTCCCTCTCCTCCTTGCTTCCTTCAAAACTACCTTCAACACTTAGTATATATATAATTCTACTGCTTTCCTCTCTTAAACCGGTGGTCATAAGAGCAGCATCACAAACTGACCTTACCTGAACAAAATGTACTGCATCGTTTGCTGTTTGAATAAAATCTTTATTGAAATCCTACCGTTCCATTTCTTGACAAACTGAGCAGTGAGGATCCTCATGAAGCCAGCCAGGCAGACCAGTTGCACTTGAAACTCTTGCAGTAGCCCATCAATGGTGGCATCAAACTCAGCTCTGCTGGAGTACAGCTTGTGGTCCACAACCTGAAGACAATAGAACAGATAAATGAGTAACGCTTCACATTAACAGGGACAGATGTTGACCCACCCTGGTCTGGATTCCAGCCATGGCTGCTCTCTGGAGGCCCAGAACTCCTGGCCTGTTGGACACAACCAGCACAATGTGAGAGGAGCTGCTGGAGGCTTTAGCCTGAGTGATGAGGGCCTGCAGGTTGGTACCTGAGGAGAGAACCAGAGACACAAACATCAATAAATAAAGAACCTCAGTACAACACATGACATTAAACACAACCCACCCGACCCAGAGATCAGAACAGCCACTCTGGTCTTGTTGGGTGCTGGGCCCACATGGACCTGCACAGAACCAGCCGCCATCAGGTTCTGCTTGAGGTTGGAAATGACAACAGAGGGGGAACCTGCAATAAAACCACAACATTACTGCTGCACAAACACACACCAAACATCTCCAATACTGGTTCTGTTGTCTAACCTGCTTTCCTCGGTACCAGACGGCCAACCATCCAGGCCTCGTCATGGAGAAGGAGTTGAGACAGAACCTTCTGAGCTTGAGCTGGACCAACCACCAGAACAGCACCGAGCCCACAGTTGAAGGTTCTGCTCATCTCCTCCTCGCTGACGGAGCCGTCCTGATGGAGCCAAGAGAAAACGGCCGGCATCTTCCACCGAGAGGCGTCTGCAAACAAACCGCTTGAGCAACACGTTCTTCCTACCACTAAACTTTATTACAAACACCATAAGTCTCCGTCTGCCTTCCTTCCTCTCACCCAGCTCGGCTGCCAGACCCGGGCCAAGAACCCGGGGCAGGTTCTCCAGAAGCCCGCCGCCGGTGATGTGAGCGTAGGCTTTAACGGCGCCGCTGCGCAGCACAGGAAGCAGCAGGCGGCTGTAGATCTTAGTGGGAGTGAGCAGAGCCTCGCCTGACAGAACCACAAACCTTTCAATGACACTCTGGACAGGTTCTGCTCAGTTGGACCAAACTTTATTAAAAACTGACCCAGATTCTGGTTCTGCTCCCCAAACGGAGCAGGAGAGCTCAAACCCAGCCCGCTTCGCTCCACAACCTTACGGACCAGGCTGAAGCCGTTGCTGTGGAGACCAGAGGAAGCCAGTCCAATCAGAACGTCTCCCTCCGCCATGTCCTGTAGCCGTGGCAACAAGGAACCCCGCTCCACGGCGCCAACACAGAACCCGGCCAGGTCGTACTCTCCAGCCGGGTAAACGCCGGGCATCTCTGCCGTTTCACCACCTGAAATAAATAAATAAAAGAAAGAAATGTATAAAACCAGTCAAAGTCCACCGGGCTCACAGAACAAACTGCATCGGTTCTGGTTGGTTCTGACCCAGCAGGGTGCAGCCGGCCGCCTCACACTTGGCAACACCGCCAACCACGGAGCGAGCCACTTCCACGTCCAGAGAGCCGCAGGAGAAATAGTCCAGGAAGAAGAGCGGCTCGGCGCCGTGAGCCAGAACGTCGTTCACACACATGGCCACCAGGTCCTGACCCAGAGCGCCGTGACGGCCGCAGGCCTGGGCCAGCTGGGAAACGAAACCGGCACATTAAAAACCTGCTGCTGCAAGGACAAAAGTTAACACTTTACTAGAACAATCACCTTTAATTTGGTTCCAACACCATCGGTGCCAGAAACCAGGATCGGGTCCACAAAACCAGCCGCCTTCAGGTCAAACAGTCCCGCAAAACCTCCGAGCTCCGCAGCAGAACCTGACACCAAACCCACATGTCAGACCAGCTGGAAGCTCAACTCTCCCTGCATCACTGAGCAGAGCGAGGCGGAGCGGTACCGGGTCGGGTCGTGGCTCTGGCCAGAGGCTTGATCATCTCCACCAGCCGGTTGCTGTCCAGCGATGTCCACGCCGCTGTCCTTGTAGGTCAGAGACCTGCAGCGGGAGACAAACGTCAAACCGACACACAAACAAACATCCACTTTACTCTTTGTTTCACTGAAACAGACCCGTGTTGGTTCTGAAGGACCCGGTGGCCGATGTCTCGCCGGTACACGGCGCCTGGGAAACCAATGTCGCCCACACCCTGATTGGCCGCCTGCAGAGCGACCTCCAGGCTCGACCCGACCGCCGTCACGGCCAGAACCCGGCCGCCGCTCGACACCAGCCGTCCGTCCCGCAGGGCGGTGCCGGCGTGGAAGACGTGCAGCCCGGCCTCCTGCAGCCGACCCAGACCTGCAGCAACAAGAGACATGAAACGCCTCGGCCCAGAACCAGAACCAGAACCCTGCAGCGGGCCCACCTGTGATCTCGACACCTTTCTCATAGGAACCCGGGTAACCCGCACTGGCCATCACCACAGTAACCGCAGAGCGGCCCTGCTGCCACACCGGGGCGTTGGAGGAAAGGGCGCCGCTGACGGTGCTGCTGATGACATCATAGAGGTCGCTCTGCAGCAGAGGAAGCAGAACCTGACACTCTGGGTCCCCAAAGCGACAGTTGAACTCCAGAACCTTTGGCCCTGATTGGTCAGCATGAGGCCAGCATACAAAACACCTGAAACAGCAGCAGCAACACTTTCCAGTCACTTTATTCTCCTACATGACCCTTGACCTGCTGCATCATCTCACTGCTACATTTTACCCATATAAGGTCGTCCTTCCTGCCTCATCCCATCCACCGTCTTCTGCAGGATGGACTCTCTGATCTGCTGCAGCAGCTCATCACTGACCTGCGGGGCGGGGCAGTAGGCCCCCATCCCGCCCGTCAGGGGCCCCGCGTCTCCGTCCTGGAGCCGCTTGTGGTCCTGAGCGGGCGGCATCACAGAGACGGAGGAACCGTCGCTGAAGCACAAACACTGCAAAGTTGACACATCGTTAGCTTCAGGCTCTGCTGAGACAAAAACACAGGAAGCTAAAACACATTTCAGTTCTGGACTCACCGACACTTCCTGTCCCTCCAGAAGCTCCTCCACCACCACTGTGGTTCCTGCCGACCCAAAGGTTCCGTTCTACAAGAACAGACGAGTCGTTTCTTCTTTGGATCTCACATTTAAAATTCTTTTCTTTAATCTCCTTTCCCACCTTCATGATGTCCATGACGGCGCGACACGCCTCGTCCTGATCCCCGGCGACGATGACTCCTTTCCCCCCGCCAAGCCGCTCGCCTTCACCACCAGAGCTGGAAAGTCGGCACTGACAAGAAAGTGCAAATGGATTCAGAACCAACATTGTGATTTGGGTTCTGAAGAACCGCAGAGCCTCTGAGCGAACCTGCGGATGAAGCTGCAGGCGTCCTGCGGCGCTGAAGGAGCCGTAGCGAGCCGTGGGAACGCCGTGACGCTCCATGAACGCCTTGGCAAAACTCTTGCTGGACTCCAACTGGGCCGCCGCAGCGGTGGGTCCAAACACCGAATGCCCGCCGCCGTCAGGTCGTCCACGATACCTGCTGCGAGCGGCGCCTCTGGACCCACCACGACCAGACCCACATGGTGGTCCTTGCAGAACTGAGCCAGGATGCTGTGGTTGCTGATCGACACCTCTGGAGAAACACAAACAAAACCTGAACGGGCCTGAAAACAACACAGTTAATGTAGCAGAACCAGAACCCTCCCAGGTACCAGAGTTGCTGATCTTGCCACAGCTGACGGTTCCTGCGTTGCCTGGAGCCACCAGAACCTGCTGGACCCGCTCAGACTGGGCCAGCTTCCAGGCCAGCGCGTGTTCCCGTCCCCCGCCTCCTACCACCAGAACCCGCTCGGCCATCGCTACTGGAACCAGAACACATTAGATTTAAAGGAGCATTTCCAATCACCATGTGAAGCCATTGTGCAGGCGCTGACCTTTAGCTGGAGGAGCCGTGACCTTTTCCAGGGGATGATTGAATCGTAAAGCAGGAAACAAAGAGCTGGAAGGAAAACAAGACTTTCAACACAACCTGCATCGATTTCTGCTGGAATCTGGATTACTGCTGAATCAGCATCAAGATGAGCAGGACAACAAAGACTCCAGTGTTGGAGCCACATGGTTCCCACTGATTGGAGTCACTGGGCTCATGTGAGTCCAGAGAACCACAATCAACTCTTCACTGAGAGGAAAAGTCCAAATGATGAGCTGGGAAAACATTTTAAACATTCTTCATTTGTTCTGCTTTTCTTTCCAAAGTCCTGCTCACTTTGAAGCGACTGCAGCACAAAAACTCGTGGAAATGACCTGAACTGACTCACCTCTGTTCCTCTGCAGCAGCAACTAGTCGCAGCCCCACTGACCCGATGCTCAGTCCCTGCGTGGACTCAGCCTGCGTGGAAACTGCGGGGAGAGAAAGTGAGGCGAAGAACGGAGCCACAGTGCGTGGAGCCACAGCGACATCAACTCACCCACTGCAGCAACAACACGTGCAAACGCTTCGCTCCACCGACTGATGGGAGGAAACTTTAGGGATTCCACCACTTCCTCTGGGAGCCACAGCGCAAAGCATCACGGGAGACGTAGTTCCTCTCCTGCTGGTTGCAATTAACAAACAAACAGGTTAGTTTACATTTAGAGAAACTGAACGTGAAACAAAGATCTGAAAGAACCCACCTGAGAGGAACCGCTCTGGAGCACCGGCACCACCGAACCGGACCCGACCGGAGCGAACCGGACCGGACCGAGCCCGGATCACAACTGTTGCTCCTCCGGTTCGCTCTTATCCCTTTCCTCACAGCTGCTTTCAATTACCGCTGATGAACCTCAGCTTCATCTAATGAGCCTCTGATCAGCAACTGGCTTTCCTCTGATCTGATCCAATCAATCACATCGATCACATTGATTAATCTTTTGTTAAGAGTGGTTCAGATCAGCACTGATGTCATAAATATTCACTATTACTCCGTCACCAACATGTGCTGAGCCTCATCCTTTGCTGCCCCACTTTATTGATTAACTCTTTAGATTTTCCTCCTCTGGAAAAAGACACTAAAATCTCTCCAGCCTGGATTTCTGCTCTCACTGGGATTTACTGACTGACTTCCATCAATCATTCCAGTGAATTTGGTGCTTTTCTCTCATCACTTCTTGATTCATCTTTCATAAACATGGTTCTCCTTCCCTTCCAGCATCACCTTAATAATCAATGAAACAGAGATCAATATCTGTTATAATAACAGCTGATCCTGAACGCGGTTCTGGATTCTCTCTAGATGAACAGCTCAGTTTCTCCTCCAGTTGTTTCCTCTTCGTTTCTGCTGCAGCGTCCAGAACGTCAACATGAGTCCCTGAAACAAAAGCTGCAGGAAACATTTGGGAAACTTTCATTTCAACGTCTAAAAGCTCCAGACTTATGACTCCTTCAGTTTGCTAACTTCCCCCTTCCTCCTAAAAATGCTCCTTATGCTGAGAGTTCTCCACTCTTTGCATCCTGTTCATGTCTGCTGACTCATCGTTCCTCACTGACTGCAACTTTCTGGAATCACAATCAACAACGTGACAGAGTTCATTCCTTCTGCATTTAACATTTGACTTTATAGTTTAGTTACACATCCAACATTCAGGTTTAAACTGATTTTCTGATTCGACAACATTATTATTATTGTAACAAACTTACATGGAAAACATAAGAAAGAAACATCAAAACATTTGTGCAAATCCAGAGGAAAAATCAGAGCAGAAAATGAAGCCAAGATGAAAAACTCTTTATTTCTCGTATCTGGGACGGAGTTCAGGCTTTTATTGCTTCTGAAAGAAATCAACTGGAGGAGAATCGTCACAGAGCTGCTCTCCGTTCCACAGTTTCTCCGCTCGGCTTTTCTGTCGTCACAGCAAAGGAAGTTCAGGAGCCTGCAGGATCTGCTGAGCCACGTCTGAACCCGTCGGCGCAAACAGCGTGACCCCTGAACTGTACGCCGCGGGGATCCTGACGTGAGCCGTCCTGGGCCCGTCCTCCAGCTCTTCCTCCAACAGCATCTGCCTCACTTGACCTGGACAAAGAGAAAACCACAATCAAACATGGAGGCTCAGAGGTCGGCGTCAGAAGGTCGCCGCCTCACCCTCCACGTCCAGCTGCCGCCAGCGCGGGTCGCCCTGGATCTGGGAGAGGTCAGAGAGCAGACCGCCAGACGTCAACCTCTGCAGAACGTCGTCCCGACGGACCAGCAGCACCGAGTCGCTGCAGAGTCGCTGGTGAACTTCGACCTCACCGACTGAAGGAGAGAACCAAAGTAGACGAGAAAAAGATCCTCTTGACATGATACAGAAAAACTCCTCTGATTTCATCTCCAACATTTAACAAGATAATTCTCACTTCAATCTACAGAAATGCAAATTGAGGCTCAAACTTTTGACATGGATGGAAACAGAACTGTCATTTGTTGACTGAGTGCGATTAGCTGCTAAAGAACCAAAGAGAAGCCGACATGAACCACACATTCTGTCTCACGCACCCACATCCAAAGGGTTGGTCGTGAACACGGCTCCATGTGCCGCTCCAAATATGAGCTGATGGTGCCAGGCGTCGGGAACCTCCTCGCCGTCGGCCACGCCCACCTGCATGTTCATGGTCGCCACGGGAACGGCGCCCTTCTTGATCCAGCGTGCGAGCCACGGAACCAACCTGACGCTCCGCCGCGGATGAAGGTGGAAGAAGCGGCCGACGGCCTTCCCGCCGCTGGCCTCCCGGGCGCCTCGGATCAGCTGGGCGTGAGTCGCACCTGGACCCAGGTCGACATCACCGTTACTGACGGCATCACACGTCCTTTATTAAATATTCACTTCATGGGAAATCCCCATTATTTTCACATCATTCACTAGTTGTGTGACGTCAGGGCGGCCATCTTGGTTCTACGTTTATCCACTTGGAATTGAGATGAACAAGAAGATATTATAGTGAAGCTGTGACTTCTTTTCTATTACAAGAACTGTAGGAACTTTTTTACAAATGAAGAAACAGATTTTCTGTCTTTACTTTGGCGCCCCCTGCAGCCCAGCGCCCCTATATGCGTCCAACAGTGACTAGAAATAAAGAGCAGCACATTGATTTTCTCTGTGACACACGTTAAAACTATTCTTGACGCTGCAACATCCCATAATACCAACATGGCGGCAGCTCACCAGCTTCGCTGCGGGAGAGCAGGTAGTCTGGCAGCGGAGCCTCGATCCTCCTCAGGCGGGTCTGGACGCAGCGCTCCGCTTCTTCCGGGGTCACATCCAGTCCGAGGGCCTTCAGGACGTCCACCACCGCCGTGGCCCCGCAGGCCGAGGCTCCGATCTGCTGGGTCTGCCTCTCCTCAGCCTCCTGGATGGACCACAGCATGGCGGCCGCCTCCTCCTCTCCTCCTCCTCCTCCTGGTCCTCCGGCTCCATCCGAGCGCTGAGAATCGATCACATTCCGATCAATTAGGCGCAACTAGCAGTTATAGAGCGAGAGCAGCGACACCTACTGTCGATTCTGTGAAAGACGTCTATCCGCTCGGTTGTGGCTTCGTTTCCATTGATGTTTCAGCCGAACTGAGAACCACCAGCTGACTCCAACAACACTCAGTGAGCATGCGCACTGTCCACGGTAACATGGAGCGCGGCCGCTGGCGCCCCTAGTGGTGCGAGGTCGCCACTCCATCCTTACAGCAACATTGCAGGAACAGTGATTTCATACGTAATTCATTCTTTTCATAACTTACATTTCATCCAAGTATTTATTGAATATCCCACACAATAAAAGTGATTAATGCAACACTTTAAAGTTGCATTTAAAGTGTTAACTTTGTACTTTAGCTTAATAAATACAGATTTTAATAAACAGTTGGTTAAAAGTCAGAACTTTGTAGAAAACTTATTATGACGTCATTATTTACTAAATGACATTTTCTTCAAACATTTCTAAAGAATCCTAGGTCATTTTTGCACAAACACCTTGTGATAAATTCTAATCCTTTCCTGCCAGATCGTTTCCAATAATGTCAGACCCTCAATCACTTACACCAGTGCAGTTGTTCTCACTGTGCATTACTTTCACACTGAAACATTTTTAATGAAAACATAGGGAATATTGTCACTTTTTACCTCTTCAGTATCTTCAAAGACCCAAGACCATTATTTTTTTCACATTAAGATTATGATATCTGACCAGCTTCTCTAAACCTCTGAAGCAAAATCAAACCCACAGCATCCCGGATCCTTCACCTTGCTGAACACAGGAGATCCACTGAGCTTCGAAACATTCACCCACTACAAGTTATTGTCTGATTGAGCTGATTCCGCTGAGAGAATTTTTATTTCTCTCATCAAATCATTCCTTTGGTTGATTTGGAGCAAAAACCAGAAACTATTTAGGAATTAGCTGTCTCAATGCCCAGATATTTTAGCAACACTAGCATGTTTTTATGCTTGTTGCAGCAGCAATATAGAAAAAACAGGATCTGGTGTCATTTCCACAACAAAACCTCATGAAGCAGAACATCCTGAAGCTTTTTACAGTTGGTTTGCATACTTGCCACTACATTAAAATCCTATAAATTTCCTAGAAGTGAAAACTAAACTTAAAGTTTAGTTTTCACTGTAATTTAATTTGGAAACAATGCACCTTATAAAAAATCAGAAAAAAATCTTATTAATAGAGTTTTACTTTAAGACTATTTTTACTAAGATAATAGAAGAAACTGAGGAAAAGTTAAGTGATTATTAATGCAGTTTCTTATATGGACAGCAGATGTCGCTGTTGCTCCATTGACAGAAGAGAAAATGAAGCTGATTTTTTTGGGTGTTTTTTGCCTCCGATTTTTACTTTCCCTGCATTTCTCTTCAATTTCCTGTGGATGCAATTATTTGCAGCTCTCTCTGAATTAAAAACAACCCAAAATTAGGAGTGAAAAACTGATTCTCCAAATGAAGACAGCTGTTTCCTCCGAATTATCTTGGAGGAAAACCGTGACAAACTACAAGATCCTGAACAAGTTCCTCCATCCAATCTGCTGAGAAAAACAGTGCAGAAATTCGCTTCGGTCTGTCGTACCGTTCGTCCCAGCGACGCCTGAGGAAGAGGAGAAAGAGGAGAAATCTTCCCGTCTCTGGGAGAACAGACACAAGCAGAGCAGCCTTGACCTCAGCGCTCATCCCGTCGGGATAACGCGGGACTGCAGCTTCACACTTTTGCAGCAGCAACCACATTTTGTGCTTGAGATGCAATGAGTGAGAATTGGCTCCACTTTGATGAAAAACTATCAGTGTATATTGAAACCAGCTGAAAATCTAAAGACAAACTATTATCTATAGCATCTAATTAAGTGGCAAGATGAACGCTGATGCATTTGTAACCCAAACAACTGCTTGACTGAAAGAAACACATGAAAGCAGAGAGAAAACCAGTCACAGCAGATTGCTTTTAATTATGGAACTAAACACTTCAGCAGATTGAAAACATCTTTATACTAAAAAACCAGATACACTTTTTTTTCCTTGTTGAAATTAGTGAGATTAAAATTTCCCATTATTTATTCTTTCTAATTTCCTCATTTTGAAGGTGCAGTATCTTTTACAGGCATCAGTTAGAAAAAATCAAGATATATATCTCAAATAAAACTTACATAATTGAATTTAGAGATTTAACACCTTGAAATTGGGCCTCTGTCTCTTTAAAAATCCCATTTTACTCCAAACTCGGCCTTCAGGAAGTCATCACAACATGGTTATTTACCCTTGAAGAGTCTTTACAAACATTGGACTGAGAAGTAGCTAAGCACATCCATCAAATGTTTGCTAATAGCTGCTGGCTAGTCTGAAGGAGCTGAGTGTGGGAGGAGCTGCATCTCAGAGGCGGAGCTACATCCACCCAGTCATTTTGGAAAGCTGAATGGTTACCATGGAGATTAAATCATTTCTCAAACATGCATAAAAGAATCGAGGTGTGTTTCTATTACAAGAAAAACTCAGACTTTTTAACAATACTGACCTCTTCAAATATGACACTTTGTTCAAATATGTTGGATTTCTCTTCTGGTGAGTTTTATAAGCATTTATTTTATTTCCCCACAACTTCCCAAAACACTAAGCTGAGAAAATGTCGTTTTTCAATTCAAGCTACGACAATAAACTGTAATCTGGTATTTTGATTTTGGTTTAAGAACTTCTTCCTCACTGAAAGGCCATTTCACTACAGCTGCATCTTCGTAACAACTTCTGATAACGTTTATTATACTTGTGCTTCAATATTGGAACACATCTCCCTCCAATTGATTCTGATGTTGTGAATTAACCAATCAGGCGTTTCAAAAGCAAAGGCATCATCAATTTGGCTTTTTACCAGAGACCACACAAGGGCCAATTTAAACTACACCTATTTTCTCTCATTATTCATTTCCTAAACATCACTTTTTCTTAAGTGAGCAACCTTTCAGCTTACATTAATGAATTTCTTCTACGGCTACACAAAATCGAGACACATAAACGTTTGTTTTGTTGTTGAAATTAGTGGCAAATTAATCTGTCACATAATGACAGCACTTTGGTGTGGCTGCTGTACTCCTCTGAGTGGTTTTTCTTTTACTTTACACAACTTTTAAAGCTCTCCCAACTTTCCTTCTCATGGCAGCAGATTTTATTGTATTCTACATTACAGTTGATCGATACCTCTCCTAGTTTTCTGAAGCTATTCAGCGGCTTTTTCTCTGAGCTTCTGTCTGGTCTTTGTACTGCAGCGGCGCATTGTGTAGTGAAATAAAAGAGACGTGTAAAGTACAACTGGAGAGTAAGAGAAGATAAGATGCTGCAGATGAACCTAAGCATGAAAAATCAAACTACATTACATTAGAATAATGGTTGAAATTCTTTACTTTGTCACCCATTTGTTGAGACTGAGATGATATGAAATTTATTTTCCATAGAGCTACACTTACTTTACACAGCTGTTCAGTTTGTCCGCTCACCTGCGTAGATGCACCCGCCGCGCACTTCACCGCCGTTCACTGCGAGTAACGGCCACCGGGCGCAGCTTCGAGCGGAGAAAAGCTGCCGGACTCAAGGCATCGCTGCCATCATTTTAAGAATCCTTATTGGTCCCCCAAATAATCCAAAAGATTATTATAAATCAAAAACATCCTCATGGGTCCAACTTACAAATTGGACATTATGCTGCAGCTTTTGTCAAGAGAGAGCGCTGCGCAATGCAAGTAATTGGTTTGTGTTTCTCCTTCTAGAGAAGGTGATATCTGGATGTACACCTCGAGGTCAAGAGGTCAGCAACGCACAACAATCAGAGCAGCTGCATGTTTACTTAATCCCAACCTGGCAGGGAAATTCATGAACCTGTCAGCTGTTTACAGGCGGCGCGCTCGTCCCGTCGGGATAACGCGGGACTCTATTTCAACACTATCTGCGTGACCTCTAGGTGCACGGCGGCTCCTCGGGGATCTGCGGGATTAACCGGCACCTCGAAGCTCAGCCGAATCATTATAAACAGCAGCAACGCTTTGAAAACACCCATAACGGCGCATTAGCATTGAAATGAGGTAGCGCTTTGTCAGGAGGAAGTTCTGGGTCACGGAGACAAACGGCGAATGGTGCCGGAGGGGTCGTCGTCTCTAATGTCAATAGATGCCGGCTCGTTTGCAGAGGATTCTGCAGGGGATTCACCCAAAGACTCCTCCTCGTACGCAGTAAAATTTAAAGGTCCACACAAAGCCCGACTTGCATTCTCCATTTCTAGTGACTGTAAAACACCCCCCGCTCCTCACTTCCTTTTATATAGGCCAATAAAGCTGAAAACCTGTCCAGCTTTTACTCTCTTCCCGCAGTAAAAGCCTTCTGAAATCCAAAAGGCAGGTGCATAAATAATAAGAGAGAACATTGAGCCTGTGCGAGGACAGAGCTTTTGTCTTCTGTCAGACATGAGCTGGATTATGCACTCCAGAAACACTTAAGTGGCAGCTCCGCAGGGTTTTACCCAGTCACATAAATCCTGATTTGAAGGTAATTAAAATGATGGAGAGAAGTCAAAAACCTGGGATATTTTTCCCCCTTTAATGCTTTACTTGACTGATTCCTGAGCACATATGCAGGAATCAGTGAGAGGAGATACACTGAGTGAACATGAAAAACTATTCAAACCGTCAACCTTCACCGATGGCAAAGTTTGACTCTACTGGCTTTAAACGTCTCTAGAACTCGTTTCCTCATTCTTCAGTCAGATTGCAGGAGAACATCTCGAAACATGAATTTCCTCTTTCTGATGCTGCCACCGCCATACTCCACTGTATGTGTTCATCTGACCATTGTAGGCTGCGACTGCATGAGTTTTAGAAATGTTTTCATCCACATTCTAACAGGCTTGTGATTGGCGCTGATCATGGAGCAAGGCACGAGGTTAGCGATTAAACACGACTCACCGAAAAGTTAAATGAACTGAAAGTTCATTGTTTAATTGTTTCATCCTAACCATAAGTTGTGGGAACATTGAAGCATTAATTGCAATAGCATAAACAGTTTCGCTAACCCTGATAAACATTGGCTGAGCTAACGCTAATGCATTTCTCCAAGATGATACAGTGGAAGCTGACTCCATTATTTATGCTAATGCTAACTGTCCAAAGAGCTGTTACCAGTCGATACCCAGAACATCCACACAGACTTCAAAGCTAAATAAGTTAATCAAGAAATGCTAATTCAGAGAAAGTTACGTTTGCACAATATGATGCAAGTCAGCAAAGGTGCTAAGCCAAACAATTTGTTCCAGGTTAGCGGAAGTTGAGTCTTTTGTGTGGAGTGAGAACAAAGTTGTGC